CAATTAGAAAATCATTAGATATCTCTGAAGATTTTCAATAGACTAATTTGACTAAAAGACTGATTTAAATTTTTATATAAAATGAAAGTGAAGAAGAAATGGAGGCACTTGGTACATAAACATTGAAAAAATTGAAGCAACCTGCAACAGCTCACCAAAATATACATTACAATAAGCATATTTGTTTATATGCACATTAAACTTGCTTGTTCCTCAATCTTTAATTTAGCGTTAGTGTAAATTTTCACAAAGATGATTCCCATTGTTTAACCATAGTAATCCATAAACTCAGTAATGAACATACGTACTCTAGCTACAGAATTGAGAAGCATTTTCAGTTTTGTGAACAAATGGCTAATCTTGGAGGACTGACTTTGTTAGTTTTGACTTTGAATTAATAGTATGTCTGGCTTGAAAATTTGTTTTTAAAATAATAAATATTGAAAATGAGTTTTAATTATCAATACACATGTATATCTCCAGTTCTAATAGCGATGTAGCTTCAGTATTCATATTCTATTTTTACATTCTAAGTGAGATGACCCAGCAATACCTATTGTAATTTAAAAATTAATATAAACATGAGAAATGTACCCCATTTTTAAAATTAAAAGAGGTAAATGGCACAAAATAAATTTTTATTCAAGAAAGTAATAAATTTGCTATGTTCATAAGTCTGGTTTTCTTATTAGAATAACTATTCAGTATTCCATTTTGAAGCTTGCTTGCTTTGTTTTTATATAACACAAAATCATTATCATTTAATTAAAATAATTTCATTAAATAGATGACCTTTCACTTCATAAGACTTGTCACTAAATTTGATTCAGATTCCAAGTCAAAAGCACTCTCAGCTGAAGGCAAAGGAATATTTGTGAGCTCAAGCTTCAGAGAGAGGTTCTATACCACTCCCTGTATTAAGGTTCTCTGCCTAAATCAGTTGGGAGGGATTACTACAACTCTAACTCACAAATTTGATGAAGAGTGTTAAGTCCCATGGTCATAAAGCCATCAGATAACTATTTTGAAATACTGATTAAAGTTTAAAAATCACAGAACCATAATTTATGAAGGTATTCTCAAAGTGAAACTCAAGGTTTGATGTATTTTGAAATTTTACTGAAAAATGTAAACTTAACAAATAAACTTTTTCATTGCTGTAGCATTAAGGTTACTAGGTTAACAAAATTATAAGAACCCTGGAAGGCAACCAAGGCAACACCATTCAGGACATAGGAATGGGCAAAGACTTCATGACAAGTACACCAAAAGTAATCACAACAAAGCAAAAATTGACAAATGGGATCTAATTAAACAAAAGAGCTTCTGCACAGCAAGGAAACTATCAACAGAGTCAACAGACAACCTACAGAATGGGAGTAAATTTTTGCAAACAATGCAAAAATTTGACAAAGATTTGCTAATATCTAGCATCTATAAGAAACTTAAGTTTACAAGAAACAACTTCATTAAAAAATGGGCAAAGGACATCAACAGATACTTTTCAAAAGAAGACATACATGCAGCCACCAATCATATGAAAAAAAATCTTGGTGTCACTGATCATTAGAAAAATGCAGATTAAAACCACAATCAGATACCATTGTACACCTGTGAAAATAGCTGGTATTAAAAAGTCACAGATGCTAGCGAGGTTGTGGAGAAAAGGAAATGCTTACACACTGTTGGTGAGAGTGCAAATTAGTTCAACCATTGTGGAAGGCACTGTGGTGATTCCTCAAAGACCTACAAGCGGAATTACCATTCAACCCAGCAATCCCATTACTAGGTATAGACCCAAAGGAATATAAAACATTTGGTAATAAAGACACATGCATGCATATGTTCATTGCAGCACTCTTCACAGTAGCAAAGACATAGAATCAACCTAAATGCCCCTCAGTGGTAGACTGGATAAAGAAAATGTGGCACATATACACCACAGAATACTATGCAGCCATAAAAAGAATGAGATCACGTCTTTGGCAGGGACATGGATGAACTGGAGGCCATGATCCTCAGCAAACTAATGCAGGAACAGAAAACCAAACACCACATGTTCTCACTTATAAGTGAGAGCTAAATGAGAATACATGGACACATAGACAGAAACAACACACACTGAGGCTTATTGGAGAGTAGAGGATGGGAGGAGAGAGAGGATTAGAAAAACTAACTAATGGGTACTGGGCATAATACCTGGGTGACAAAATAATCTGTACAACAAACCCCCATGACACAAGTTTATTTATATAACCTGCACATATACCACTGAACTTAAAATTTAAAGGTTACTGGGTTAAAGGGCGTGATAATTTTCATAGCTATTAATACAGGTTGCCAGACACCTTCTAAAACAGGAGCAATAAGTTCTTTTCTGTATGCAAAATTTTGTATTTGGATTTTTTCATTTGGTCTTTTAAATTATATTTAGAATATTAAGATAGGGCCATTGCCACAATATATTAATGTATTAATCTCTCAAATACATGAAGCAAAATGTCTCCAGGGCACCCTGAGAAGACTGCTACCCAAGATCTTGAGATGGCCCTGGTTTTTGGTCCTTCTGAAATCTGTTCAGCCAATGTTTCACATTAATACAGTTGTATTGGTCTGTTGCTTGCCATCAACCTCTAACGGATATATCTCCCCGTACATAGAGCACTCCAGACAGTTTACCTGCCTTTCTACCTGGATCTGAAGCCATAAAGTGGTAAAGGTAAATTACGATAAGACCCAAAACCAACAAGGGTGAGCAAATAAATATTTGACTATAGTATTCCATTTCTCTGATGGCCTGGCTAAGAATGGATGAATGGACTTGCAGAGTAGTGTTCTCAAAGAAACTGGTTTCTCTGGTCTAGACATTTGTATTAGTCCACTTTCATACTGCTAATAAGGACATACCTGAGACTGGGTAATTTATAAGGAAAAAGAGGTTTAATGGACTTACAGTTCCACATGGCTGGGGAGGCCTCATAATCATGGCAGAAGGTGAAGGCACATCTCACATGGCAGCAGACAAAAGAAGAGAACTTGTGCAGGGAAACCAACAGATCTCATGAGACTTATTCCTATCATTAGAACAGCAAGGGAAAGACCGACCTCCATGATTCAATTACATCCCACTGGGTCCCTCCCAAAACACATGGGAATTGTGGGAGATACAATTTAAGGTGAGGTTTGGTTGGGGCACAGCCAAACTATATCAACATAGTATTTAAAAAATTACTAAGGGTTTGGATTATCTAAACATGAAAGAGATAGGGGCACTCCTTGAGAACCAAAAGTAGTTTAATAATGAAAAAAACAAATTCGCATTTTATAGGATAGGTACTACAAGAATGTAATTTCTTTCTCAGAAAAAGTCAGTTTTTAGATCAAGCAAGAGAAACAGTATAGAAGTTTTCATTAGAGATATAATACATTTTTCTTTTTCCTGTAATATTAACTTTTTTATCTTCTATTTGTGAATCTATTTTTATACACACAAAAAATTGTCATCCTTTTGATTTGGTCTTTTAGTAAATATAGGTTTGACTATGTATGGATGATAATAGAAGAGAAATTGGTTGGGATATTTATGGATGCTAAGCCTACAAAGAATCTAGGGACTTTTGTATATGTCATCTTACCCTAACTTCTTTTCTCCATGCTAGCCCCTTGCTTCAGTGGCCTCCAACTCCTCTTGCAGTAAACCCTTAAGTCTACAAGACCCTGATGTGTCTGCCTCTCTGGGACCACATCACACCACACCTTGCCTGATCCTGCACTCCAAGCCATACTGACTTCTTTCAGTTCCTTACATCATCCTGCAGAGCACGGTGCCTTTGCACATGCTCTCCCCACTCCCAAGAACATCCTGCCTCCTACCCTAGAATCTCCCTTCCCCAAATTAATTTAGCACAAACACTGCTCCTCTGAGGAGTCCTGACCACCCTAGCAACCAGGTCGGGTTCTTTTGTTCCCCACTCTCATAACACTGTGTTCACTCAGGCTGTAAATATACATGTATTTGTGTAATTATTTAAGATATCTTCTAGACTGTAAGCTATGTGACAACAGGAGCGACATCTGATTTTACTTACAATTTTTTCCCCTACAACTAATAGAGTGCCTGGACACATCCTTGGCACATAATAATTACTTAATAAATTCAAAAAGGAACTAATTCAATTGGTGCCAATGTCAGAGGAAGATTCCTAGGCTGGAGAACAGAAGTCTGAGATTTTTGTACCTGCACATTTTTTCTGATGTCTATATGTTGGGTTGAAAGTGAAACTGCTTTTGCAAAAATTAGATCAGTGAAAAAATTATGGCAGTAAAACAGATATGATTTAATCCACCCCTTATCTTGCCTTTCCCTTAATTATTCCTGGGCTTAGGCTAAATTGACTGATATGGTTTGGCTCTGTGTCCCCACTTAACTCTCTCATCTTGAATTGTAATCCTCATAAACCCCAGGTATTGAGGGTAAAAGCTGGTGGGAGGTGACTGGATAATGGGGGCAGTTTCCCCAGTGCGGTTCTCAGGATAGTGAGGGAGTTCTCACAAGATCTAGTTGTTTGATAGGTGTGGGACTCTTTCCACTTTGTGCAGTTCTGTCTCACCTGGTACGGTGTAGGACGTGTCTTTGCTTCTCCTTCACCTTCTGCCATGATTGTAAGTTTCCTGAGGCCTCCCAAGCCAGGAGGAACTATGAGTCAATTAAACCTCTTTCCTTTATAAATTACCCAGCCTCAGGTATTTCCTTATAGCAGTGTGAAAAAAAACTAGTACACTGACTTTGGGAGACATTTAGTTTAAAGTTTAAATGATAACAGGCTTTCCCCCAAACTCGTCTACCTTTGTAAAGATAATGCAAGGCCATCAGGCTGGGGGAGGAGAGGAATCTGAATTCTGTGAAGGTGTACACATAGTTTGCCAGCCATTCCTGCAGATAACAGCACTATTACAGATTGGCCCCCTTGTTTTTAACGTATTTTATAAATATTTTATTTCAAAATATGGAATGCTTCACAAATTTGTGTGTCATCCTTGCTCAGGAGCCATGCTTCTCTGTATCATCCCAATTTTAGTATATGTGCTGTTGAAATAAGCACATAGATTGGCCTTTTGAGATATATTTTCATGGATTTTTTTTTTTTTTGCATGTCTGACATCCATGGTTCTTCCACCTGGATGTTTCCACCTGGACATGCCAACCTTGTTCCTGTGGCTCCACCCAGAAGCAACTCAGTGCACAGGACAGCTTCACAGAAACCCTATGATTTTATCTCTGCCACAACCAATCAACAGCAAGCCTAGCCACTCCCACCCATTACCCCAAACTGCCTTTGTAAAACCCCTAACCTACAAGCATTGGATGAGACTGTTTTGAGTGCTAACTCCATCTCTCATGTGACATGGCTGGCCTCATGTCTATTAAACTCTTTTTTTTTACTTCAATGCCATGGTCTTTGTGCAGAAGGCAGGAAGAACTTCTTGGGTAGTTACAAAAGAAATCTGTGCAGTGCAGCCTTTTGCAGGTTTGCATTTCCGCAAAGACCTACAGGACCTGGTAAATGTGTAGGTAACATTCCATGCAATTCTCTCTCCTCATACCAACTGTAGGTAGACTTGGATTGTTGGTAACACGTGGCTGACCTCAGATAACCATTCTTCCTCTCTCAAAGAAAACATACAGGGCTGATGCCCACAAATGAGATATGCTCTGACATGCTTCAAGTGATGCTAGAAGGAGGCAGGTAATGAGAAAGTAATGCTTTTGCATGTTTCTGTTTCCTTATTTCATTATATCCCCGATCATACATCTAAAAACATGAATGTAGAGCCTGGTTCCAAGCAAGCCGCAGAGAACAAAGACTGCCATCAATAGAAAGATGAAGCAATACTTTGTTTTTTTCATAGAAAGTGGAATTAGCAGTCTATATGAATGGAAAATGAAATATAATGAAAGTGGAATGGAAAAGCACTTGTTTTAAAAACAACAATGTAGACTTTTAAGTTTTATTGCAAAAATCTTGACATTAGGAATACAATCTTGAAAAGATATTAGGTTAAAGTAAGCATAGCAATTTTTCCCAGTTTAATAAATACTATAGTTAACTTCTTCCTTGGAACAATTATTTAGGTAAAACACATTTTAACAACTCTACACTATACCATTTATGGCTACGTGTTAGCACATATTCCTAGTATTTCGTACATGTAACATTCATTTTTAAAGAGGAAGGGAAAAATAGTGGCTAAATAGCAGAAAAAGCTGTGAAATTCAATGACAGTATTGCATTAGAATAGTTGGTGTGAATCTTTAAGTGCATACTAAGGAGACATTAAAAAATTTCTAACCACACAACATTAGACACTTACATTGCCAAATATTTATATTTTTTTTATCTCTCTGAAGCCCAAAAATTTCATGCAAAATTTTCATTTGCATTTCAGGCAAAATTTCAAAAACATTTTGCTTTTAAAAAACAATCAGCAATCTGTTCCTCCAATGTGTAGGGAATAAATGTAAAGATTCTCTGAACTTCCAACTCCATTATCAATAATCACCAAGTTCTGCAGAATATATTGGCTATAGTTTTCATGTTTGTCTCCCAAAACTCATGTTGAACTTTGATCCCCAATGTTGGAAAAGAATCCCTATCAGAAGGTGTTTGGGTCACTGGAGGCAAATCCCTCATGAATGATTCAGTGCCTTCCCCATCATAAGGGGTGAGTTTTCATTCTATTAGTTCCTGCAAGTGATGGTTGTTAAAAAAGAGGCTGGAACCTCTCCATGCCTCTTGCTTCCTCTTGCCATGTGATCTCCAAGCATGCTTGCTCCCCTTTGCCTTCTGTCACAAGTGGAAGCAGCCTGAAGCCCTCATCAGAAACAGATGCTGGCACCATGCTTCATCTACAGCCTTCAGAACCATGCGCCAAGTAACCACTTTTCTTCTCCGTGGCCCAGGGTGGAGTGCAGTGGTGTACTCATAGCTCACTGCAACCTCAAACTCTTGGGCTGGAGTTATCCTCCCATCTCAGTCTTCTGAGCAGCTAGGACTGCAGGCATGTGATACCATGCTATTATTTTTTCTTTTTAGTGAAAATGAGGTCTCACTATATTGCCCAGGCTGGTCTCAAACTCCTGGGCTCAAATAATCCTCCTTCCTTGGCCTCCCAAAGTGTTGGGATTACAGGTGTGAGCCACCACACCCAGCTAACCTCTTTTCTTTATAAATTAACCAGCCTCAGGTAATGCTTTACAGCAACACCAAACAGACTGAGACAGTATCTACATGAAATTTTTTTACCCAATTCATCAAATCAGGTTGTAAATTCACATAATTTGTATTTATTTTCTTCTCTCATTAGACCTAAGCTCTTTGAGGGCAGGGTTTATCTAACCTGTGATTACTCAAAGCCAGACACACAGCAGATGAGCACTATACCTTTTTGCTTGGTCAATGCACACATGATTGCTCATGTTGAGAAAAAATATTACGTGATTTAGGAAAAACTTTTTCTATGTATTTTGGAGAGGAATTATATATAAGTATTTAATATTTAGCATATAGTATTCCTTCTGAGTCAAATACAATGCACAAAATTCTTCCTTTGCAATTCAGGGGATTAAAAAGTTAACCATCCTAAAATAAGAGCATGGGAAGAAGTGCTTCTAATCTTCCTAAATCTCTGGAAAAACTATGCTGAGACCTGACAACACCCTGAGAATCCACTTTCTACAAAAAGTTTGTTCTGTGTGCTAAAATTAACTCTATCAAACATGCTATAAGCAAATTAGTAGGATGTACATTCTGCCTGTTCCCTATTATACGCTAGGAAAATGCAAGGTGACTATGGGCCTAAAGTCTCTAATCTGTCTGGCTTATTTCACTTAGCATATCTTCCAGTTCCATCCACATTGTTGTAAATGACAGAATTTCCCTTTTTTTTGTGGGGGAATAAGGTTGAAGAGTTTTCCTTTGTAAATGTGTGTGTATGTGTATGTGTGTTTATGTATATATGTGTGTGTGTATGTGTGTGTGTGTATAGGCCAGACTACTGATGGCAATATGTGTGTGTGTGTGCGTGCACATATATATATATATACACACATATTGTGTATGTATATGCCATGTGTATATATATACACACACACACATATATACACTATATATATGCACAAACATATATATGCACACACAGACATGTACACACACACACACACAAATTTTCTTTGCCCATTCCTCCATCAGTAGATGCTTAGGTTGATTCCATGTCTTGGCCATTGTGGATAATGCTACAATGAACATGGGGTTGCAGATATCTTTTCCAGATACTAATTTTATTTCCTTCAGATATAGATCCAGAGATAGGATTGCTGAATCAAATGAATGATAGGCCTATTTTTAATTTTTTGAGGAAACTTTATACTGTTTTTTATAATGACTGCACTAATTTACATTCCCACCGACTGGCTTGCTGCCAGGGTCTCTGGTAGAGCAGGGCTAGTGCCTGTGTTATGAGATCAACTCGGGGCTACTGGCTGGGCTCCTTGGTCAGGTGAGTCTACTAGCTATGCTCTATGGTCAAGCAGGGTGACTGGCTGGACTCTGCAATTGGGCATGGTCATAGTCTGGGCCTCAAAGTTGGGCAAAGTAACTGGTTAGGCCCCTTGCCTAGGTAGAGCTGCTAGCTGTTCCATGGATGGGAAGGGTCCCTAACCAGCCTTCTTTGTCAGGCAGGGCTGTAGGCTGTGCTCTGCTAGTCAGTTTGGTCATAGTCTAGGCTCTGTGGCCTGGCCAGGCTACTGATAGAAATCTCAGCTGGGCAGAGTTCTGACCATCCTTGTTGGCTAGTTGGGGCAACTGGTTTAGTTCTGTGGGTGGGCAGAGCCAGTGGCTGGTCTTTCTAGTCAGTCAAGGCTGCTGGCAGGGATCTAGTGCCAGCACCAAGATTTCTCTGCTGATAGCTCTAAGCTCTGCCTCCCTTTTCTTGTACTTAGTTCAGCCCTTGTGTTCTAGCCATGCGAATTCCTCCAGCGTTCCCCCTGAAGTGAGATATAAGTGGGCCTCCTGGGAAGCACTCTAAAATGCTAGGGAAGCTGACTACCTCAGGCTCTTTTTTTCTCACTGGAGAATCCATAAGCCCCAAGGGTCCCTCGGAGTGGCACTCTGCCAGCCTGTGAGAGGGGCAACATGGTCAAAATGAAGCCACTTATCTAACCCTTGTAATGTGACTTTTCTTAGTTTTTGTACTCCAAGGGAGTGGTTCAGTCTCACCTCCCCTGTCCCTTCTCCCCACAACCTCCTCTCGGGTTCTGGTATTTTTCACAAAGGTATTCTTGTCTGTAGATAGTTGCTAATCAATATTTCTGTGAAAGAAACTAAAGTCACTGACCTTATATTTTGCCATCTTGTTAACCGAGACAAAATTCTGAAAAAATGATCACCCTCAGCTTGGTAGGAAAAATCTGGGTATGTGGGAATCTGTGAGAAAAACAAACAACACCCTAGGAAGAACCCTTCTTGCCTATAATAAGTGGACAAAGACTCACTCTGAGCTGAAAGAATCATAGAGATCATGCTTTTTAAGTATTCCCATCAGCAGAAGAAAGGTAGAAAATGTATAAGGATAAGGACTTTGAGGATAATGATCATGACAAAACACACAAGCTTGACCAGATGGAGGGAGGAAAAAACAGGAGCAAGCCAAAGCCTGAAGCCATAGAGTTTTGTGCATCAGATCAAAATGAGTCCTTCCAGGGAAAATATAGGCTGCAGTTCATGGAGTGGCCTTTTTGTGGATTTGGAATGTGATTTTACATTAAAAGAACACAGATGTGATATAGCTGCCCAGGTCTCAGTCTTCTTCACTCCCAGGTTCTCAGGTTGACTCACAGGGCTTTGTGTTCATGCATATTCTGTTAGTATAAACTAACAGAATGAAAAAAAAAAAAGCCTGTTTTACTAAAACAATAAATTTTTAAAAGTAGATTAAATTTGTATCATCTGTTCTAGCACTTACTTGTCATAGAAAGCAGTCATTTTAGGACTTTTGAAGTGCATAACATTCACAAAACACTTATGAATTTGACATATTTTTACAA